GATAAGTGGGCAGAAGCCCATCCCATAGCGGACAGTACGTATGATATGATAACGGCTCCGGTGAGAGGCCGGGTCGTTACATGTGGGACGGCAGCTTCGCGTCCGATATGTTGCAGATGGGTGTGTGGTTGTGGTGGTTACTGCAACAACGCTGAGGTGGTTAGTGTCGCTTTGCTCTTCGTTGGTGATAGAGGTTAGTTGAAAAATGATGGTTGTGGCGGTGGTTGATCGGCAGGTGTTGGTGGTAGAGGTGCCGACTTTTTGGGTTTTCTTTTTTTGTTTATGTTTGTGAGTTTCAAATTGGAGACGATGTTGGTGGTGTGGCGGTAAGGTGGTGTTACTACAGGTTGTCGTGGTGTTTGCGTAGTGGTGATGTTGGTCGTGGTGGTTGTCATGGAGGCGGTGGTAGTGGTCATGGCGACAATGTAGAAGTGGTGGTGGTGGATCTAGCGATTTTGGTTTTTAGTGACTAAAAAATTAATCTGTGACCTTAAAATTCGCATATCTGTAACTAAAAATATAATCAGTGACAAACTATTTTGTTATCTGTGCTTGTGAAAAATTCTGTGACCAAAGAATTAATCCGTGACCTACAAAATTTTTGAACAGTGACCGGTGAATAGTCGCCGGAGTGGTCGTCAGTCATCGGAGTAGTCGCCGGAGTAGAGGTGGAAGTGAGGTGGGGATGGGTTAATTTTATTATAATACAATTAAATATTTAATTTAATTTAATAATTGTGAAACATAATTAATTAATTCATGAAAAATCTGATTTTTGCAATTCTAAATCTTGGGGTTTGATTTTTGATTTTGGAATAGATAAATGAGAACAATACATAAATGAGGTTTTTAAGTATGACTATTTCAAAATTAAGAATACAGATTTTAAATTTCAAAAAGCAGGTTTTCATTAAAATTTATTTATGAATTAATTAATCGATTATATATTTTATTAATAAATATATAAAGGTCACATAACTATTCAATTTGGTCACAATTCAAAAATTTTATAAGTTACAATTCATTTATCGATCATAAATTAAAAATTTAAATGTCACAATTTGTTCATCGATCACAAATTATAAAATTTATAAGTCACAACTTATTTTAGGATCACAAAACATCAAATTACAGGTCACAAATTAATAAATTTGTAGGTCACACTTTATTGGTCATAATTTATTGTTCGTTGGTCACACACCAAACAATTTATTGATCACAATCAACAAATCATTTGTGACCACCACCAACACAACACCACCGTCGTCTCCGCTTCCAACACTAAAACCACAGAAATGCACCACCTCGCCAACACCAACACCACAGAAACTCACCAGTGCCGCCAATACCACCATCACTACCACTTCCCATCAACAAAATCACCGTTTCAAATATCGCAGCCAAAGTTTTCACCACCACTACTACACCAAACCTATCAACATTACCACCACCACCACCC